CATGGAGCACTGGGTGTTATATGCAAACAATGAATCATGGAACACTACATCAAAAACTAATGATGTAATGTATGGTGATTAACATAACAAAATAAAATAAAATAAAAGATTACATATAGTTGATCATCTTTACATAAACATACATGAAGATGTTTAACTAATTCGACTTTAAAAAAGAAGACCCCCACATATTCACCATTAATGTTATTTGGTTAAATTATCAATGATTCTATTTTATTTCTTGAGGCCTTAGCAGAATAGCTCCAAAGTTCTATGGCTCCCAAAAGAGGCTGGCTGTTCTTGCGTGCCCAGAGTCTCAGGTCCCGGCCAAGGATAAGTATGTTTGTCCCGTTCACCTCGTTCCTGACACCTAATGCTATCATCCTTCTTTGGCCTGTGAATAGGAAGCAAAACATGTGAACAGTTTCTTTCCTTCTACTGGTTCCCTTGCCAGCCCTTTTCTTTTTAGCCAGCCCGGACTCTGGCTGGCTCTGCATTCCCATTTCTGGGAGATGTTCAAACTGTCGGTGAGTCCAGGGGCAAATTTAATATTCTGAGCTGCATAGCTGCTCTTGAACAAAGCTCACATGCCTGTATCATGAGGCTCAGAAGTTTGGAAGGAGAAGGAAACTTATCTACTACCTAAGCTTCAGCTCACAGATGACAAAATAATAGCTACAAACAATAACAACTGTTAATATTTGGGCATTTTGCAAGATGTTGTGCTAGATGTTCTAGGTCAATCCTTTCATGTCATTCTTGCAACAACCCTAAGGCAGGTATTCTTATCACTCCCATTTTCAAAGTAAGAAACCTGAGCTTTTGAGGGGTTCAATATTTGCTACTTGGCTTGCTCAACTTAATCCAAATATTTGCTAGTGACAGAAAAAAAAGAATTTTCACCGAGGTCTGCTGATTCCTAGAACACCGTTCTTTCAACTCAAATGACCAAAAGTGAGGCAACAGGCATTTACTGTGTACCTACCTTGGACCAGGCACTGTGCTAGATGCCAGGACAATTAGTGGCCTTACCAAGCGAGACAGAACATAAAATTCTGCCCTTCCAGGCTCTGGGGAGGAAACAGAGATTGAATGGTTTCTTAAGAGCTCTGTCTTCAGGGCAGTCAAAATGCTTCAGGGATGCCTGAGTGGCTCAGTTAGTTGAGCGTCCGACTCTTGATTTCGGCTCAGGTCATGATCTCAGGGTCCTGAGATGGAGCCTGGTGTCGGGCTCTGCATGGTGTCTGCTTCTCCCTCTTCCTCTGCTCCTCCCCTCTGTCTTTCAAATAAATAAATAAATAAAATCTTAAAAAACAAAAACAAAAAAACCCAAAACGAACACTTGCTCAGAATATCCCCCAAGAAGTGGGTGTGAGCAAACAAAGAGGGAGACATTACAATGCCTGTTTTGCAATTGAGAAAATTGAAGCAGAACAAATTGTAGGGCTTGCCCAATACAAGGCGGTAACCAGTGGGGCCAAGAATGGAACAAACTGTCTTGGTTCCTTCCACTCCATTCACTGGCCAAAATGTAAATCTCCCTTTAATCTTAAAATCTTCCCTGCAAATTATCCTAATAGAAATTATGTTACCAGGGGACCTGAGTGGCTCAGTCGTTAAGCGTCTGCCTTCAGCTCGGGTCATGATCCCAGGGT